CCTTGTATGAGCTCTGGGTTGTCCTGCTCTTCTTTTTCTAGAAGCTTGAGGTTCAGCATCAGGTTGTTTAATTGGGCTCATTCTGTTTTCCTAATATGGGTATTCACTGCTATGAATTTCCCTCGTTAGACTGCTTTCATTATGTCCCATAGATTCTGATATGTTGTACTATCATTGTCATTTAATTGAAGGAACTGTCTGATTTCTTCTTTAATTTCCTCTGTGACCCACTGGTTATTCAGAAGTGAACAACACAAACTTTAGAATGCATGGAGGTAGGTGGCTAGGCATTTTGCAGTCTTAGAGATCTGGACAGAGTCATTAAACTGACTAATTAGTGGGAGAACAAAAGGACACTAAGAAGTCATCATTTAGAGCCACCTTCCTTTCTAAAATGGGAATTTTCTATAATTATTATAAGGACAGGACTTGGAGGGAATTCCTGCAGTTCTAGGAATTTGATAAATTGCCTTAAGGTGGTATTGGTCACAAGGGAAACAAGGCCCCCAATATTTTTTGGTAAAAGAATATTGTCTATATGCTACTACTCTATATGACTTCATTTTTAAAGTTGAGCCCTTAATTATACTGAGTAATCCTTCCACATTTTCCTAGTTCATTCATTCTCCTACACAACTGTCATACTCTCTCCCCTTAAGGCTCAATACCTCCTCCTGGTCATCATGCTACACTAACATGACTTTCCATTTCACTGAGCAAACAGAGCACTCAAAAGAGGATCTATAAGCTCTTAGAATCATGTCTCCTTGCCTCCCTAGATGCCTATGAACTCTCCCCTTTCCTGATACCCAGGATGAATGGTCCATGGCTGATACAATGCCAGTCCCCTGTTCTTTCACTAGATTGTGTTGCCCTACCTACTGAGGGACACCACTCTAGTAATTGTTCCCTGCAATTTGTTCTCCTTGACTGGATTGTTCCTGTCATTATGCAAAGAAGCTTCAATTTCTTTCATCTTAAAAAAATTTAAAAAGTGTTATACTTCAAATGCCCCTGCAACCTATTTCTTTTTATAAGTAAACTTAACAGAAAAAGTTTTCTCTATTCCCAATCTCCAATTCCTCTGCTTTCATTATCCAATTAGGCTTTACCCCACCACTGCTTGCCAAGGTCACCCATGGGGTTCTCATTACTCTCTTAACTCACTTAACTCACTGGCAGCATCTGATGTCACGGAGGACATGTTCCTTCCTGATACTTGCTTTTTCCTAGCTACCAGGATACCATCTTCTAGTTTGTCTCTTCTCCACTGCTCAATATTTTTTACTCTCCTTTGTTGGTATCCCCTTAGCTCCTTGACCTCTATACACTGAGTGCCAAGTACTTGATCTTCAAACCCAAGTCTCATGACAGCCTCACAGCTTTCAATACATTTCCCTCTGAATTCTAGACTAGTTTATGCAACCTGCTTATCAGACATGTTCATGTGGATGTGTAAGACATCGCATACTTAACACATTCAAAACCAAATTCCTGCTATTTCTCCCCAAATGCTGTTCCTACTCATTTTCCCTATCTCATTGTGACAATTTTATCCTTTTCATTTCTCAGGACAAAAACCTTGATGCTATCTTTATGTTTTCTTGTGCCCCTCCCATCTAATCCATCAGGAAATCTTATTGTCTCTACCTTCACAATATACTCATAGCTGAAGACTCAGACTAATCCACCCTCACTACTTACTGGAATGAACAGCTTCCTCACTGACCACCCTCTTGGCCCCATATGCTTTCATGGGAAGATTTTTTTCTTAATGTTAGGTGAAAAAATCTTTCAACTTCAAAAATTTTCATACATAATGCGACCTAGGGGGAGGAAGAATGTTGTATGAAAGTTTTAACTTTTTCTGGTTGATGAGTCATTTCCTTCCTCACACTTTTTGTATTTTCTACATCTTCTTTAATAAGCATAATACTATTTACGTAAGTGGAAAAGCATTTCCTTATTTTTTGACCAGAGGTAAGGATATCCTTACACCAAAAGGAAACTGACTTGGAGAAGTTATTGCCTGTTTCCTAACGTTTGCTCTAAAACAGGTTTTCTTTATTATCATAATAATGCATGATACTGTAGAAAGTTCAGGAAAAGAAAATAAAGAGCAGAAAATAAAAATCATCCATAATCCCCCCCATCCAATGATAACCACTTCCCATATTCTTTCATCTTTTCTGAAATTCTAGTCTTTTTTATTCAGCTATTTATACTTCAAAAAATATAGCATCACAGGTTTTTTGCTTAATGATATACCCTGAATAGCTCCATAATTTAATATTACTAACATTTTATAAACAAATTTCTATTAACATTATTTCTCATTTTCCAAAATTATAAACTGCTATAATAAATACCTTTGAAGCTAAATCTTCATCCAAAACCATAATTCATTTGTTAAGATAAGTACCTATAAGTAAATTCCTTTGTTAAATAATTACATCTTTGAGGTTTTACCAAGTTATTTATATATACTTATATATATGCATATATATGTAAATAATACTAACTTGATCCAGAATGCACAAATGTATACTCTCACCATTTTAGAACACTTATTACTCTGAGCCTGTATTATTTTTAAAAAATATATGCTCCAGTTTGAAAGGTGAAAAATTACAGTTGTATTCATTTATATTTTTCATGTTTTTCAGTTTTTCATTGTTCTTTGGTCGATTTTTTTCAAGTTACTCATATTTTTCTTTTTTAGCATGGAAAACTTCTTTTATTATAAATATGTTACAAATATTTTTCCCAGTATATCACTGACTTCTACATTTTCTTTGTGATATGTTTTCAGTGTACAAAAGTTTTTTACCTTTTGAAATGCTATCAATCCTTTCCATCATAGTCTCTTGCCTTTGACATCTACCTTAACATTACATAGTCACATATTTTTTCTAAATTTATTAGTTTTCTACATTAAATTTGAATCTGCCTGGAGTTTATTTTAGTTGAAGTTATGCAACAGATGCCTACTGTTCCAGAAGGTGGGTTAGTTTGAAGAGTGCTTTCTTACCTGGGCATCATATTTCACAGCAGCAGAGAGAAGAGCGATGGCGTTCTCCTCGCAGATTCCTTGCTTGATGGTTTGTTGGCAGAGCTTTTTCAAACGATTTTCTCTATAAAATGTAGCCAAATCTAGTAATCCTGAAGGAAAGAAGTGTTTACTGGGGGGCACTTCTAGCATCCTGATTTAAACTCATTCAACCATTCAAAGATGACTCTGACATTCTTTTGAATATCATGCTCAGTGAAGCGCTGTGGAAACAGGCATATGCTGATTTATGCTTTGAGTGTGCAGCTCTAAGAAGGTAGCCAAGATGAATAAATATATTACACAAATATTCAGCTGTTGAAAACAGGAGCAAGCTGTTCCCTGTTTTGAACACACTTATCCCATCATTCTTGCATTTTCTGAAGCAGTCTTGGAAGTCCTCTTTCGTGAGTGTCTATAAGGTGTGATAAAAAATACAGTCAAAGCTGCTGCCAAGTGCTGCCCATCAGAAAGAGGCTCATAAATACACAGTGTGTCCTTATCCGTCTTATTCACTGGATCTAGCACCATCAACTTCTCAGTCTTCCCCAAAGTTAAAATGATCATGAAAGGCAAATGTCTCTTAATAGACTCAGCTCATCAAGGCAGCCACACGAATGCAACTAAAGACAATCATAAAAAAGGACTTCCAGAACTGCTTTAGAAAGTGGCAAGAATGATGGGATAAGTGTGTTTGAGGCAAGTGGGAATATTGTGAGGGAGATTAATGACAATGTGTCTTTTCCTGCAATAAAAATTTTAAATTTAAACTTTCACTGTACTTTTTAATCACACCACGTAACTTTAAAGTTTTAGACATGATATATAGGCCTCCATTTGGGCTCTTGCCCAGGGTGCTGCAAATATTAGGGGTGGGCCTACAAAACAAAAACAAGCAGTCTCTAAGTTGTTTACTAAGCAGCTCAAATTTCTTGTAGCTGGAAGCTGGCTTTTTAAAGTCAAGAGCAAAACCTGTTGTTATCCATCTGCCTCATCTTAACAAATGGCTCATTCTTCCAGCTACTCAAGCCAAACACCTCGGCAAAATCATCCTCCCTCCCCTCACACATCAAGTCCTATCCATCACCAAATCCCACCAGCTCCATCTTCAAAGTATATCCAGAATCTGATCTCTTTTTAACACCTCCACTGCTACACCCTCTAACCTAAATAGCATCATCTTGCACCTGAACCATTTTGTAATTACTGATATTTTAAAACAAATCATATCTCTGCTATGGCAAAAGTGGTGAGCTGTCTCTGTCTCTTCCCTCTACCCCAACACACACACACACACACACACACACACACACACACACAGTTTAGGTTCAACACACACACAACTCCTGATTACCCACATACCGACTTTCTTTTAGGTTCTACAGAATGACCTTGTCAGTTACTTGCCATTTTGCCAATTTCTTAGTAAAGTTTCCGGCAATTACCTACTGCCTCCTCAGGAGAAAGACTGATGCTGTCTGTGTACAGATATTCCAGGAAGGCTCGGTATACAGGATATGAAAATTCACTCATTTCTACAGTATCATCCTCACTGTCTTCCAACGAAGAACGAAAATGCTCACACCTGAAGGGAGAAAGAAGCAAGTTAAGTCCCAATTCTGGGCTGAAGCAAGTTAAGTCCCAATTCTGGGCCAAAGCAAGTCTCCCAGAGGAGCACACCCTTTCAGACACCTCCACAACTGCTACAGTTTGGATGCTAAGTGTCTTCCAAAGGCCATGTGTTACAGGCTTGGTCCCCAGGGTAACACTGTTGGGAGGAGGTGGAACCTTTAGGAGATAGGGCCTAGTGCAAGGCCCTTAGACCATTGGAAGCAGGGCCTGGAATGAGTGGGACCTGTCCCCTTTCCCTTTCTCTATTGCTCCCTCACAAGGTAAGCAGTTTTGCTCTGTCATGCATTCCCACCATGATACGTTATTTCTCCACAGGCCCAAAACAATAGAAGCAATCAATCATGGGCTGGAACCTCAAAAACCATGAGCCAAAATAAATCTTTTAAGCTGGGGGTGTAGCTTGCTAGTAGACTAAATAAGTAACCCTTTCTTTTGTAAGTTAATTATCTTAGGTGTTCTGTTATAGTGATAGAAAACTGACTAATGCAACATTCTTGTTTGGCTCCTTGCTTTCTTTGATGGCTGAAGTTTTCATTTATTCAACAAAGCTGCAAATCCAAACTGCTGGTGTGGGCAGTCTGGGCAGCTGCCCCCACATCTAAGCTGATGGTGACAAAGTAGGGTGCCCTGCCATCTTTCTCACACTATATCCACTGATCAACATTTATAGAAATCAGTGAGGTTTATTTTTATAAATCTGGGTAATTTTGTGTCTTCACTTAATTATACGTTGAATTTTATCTCCTAAAAATTTATATGTTGGAGTCCTAAGTTTAAGAATGTGACCTTATTTGGAGACACGGTCTCTAAAAAGGTAATCAAATGAAAATGAAGTCAATATAGTCACTCCTAATCCAGTACAACTGGTGTCCCTACACAAAGGGGAAATCTGGACTTAGACATGCAGGGAGAGCATCCTATGATGATTGAATAAGGTGCCAAAGGCCTAGAAATACCAAAGATTGTCACAAACCACTGAAAGCCAAGACAGCAGCACAAAACAAATTCTCCCAGCCTTCAGAAGAAAACCATTCTGCTAATACTTGATCTTAGACTTCTGGCCTCCAGAACTGTGAAAGAATAAATATCTGCTGTTTAAGCTACCCCTGTACAGTACTTTGTTTCAGCAAACTAATCTACCCCCTTCCTTTATAAAGGCTTCTGTGCTATAGCGGGTGAACAGATGCAGAACAGCCTGGCCTTGAGGCTGAGATGCCAACTGAGTTTGTGATTCACTGAAATCAGATTTAAATATCTGTTTCACAATATAATGAATTTCAAAATCATTATGCTAAAAGGAAAAAGCCAGGCATAAAAGAATGTATACTGTATCATTTCATTTATATAAACTTCTAGAAAATAACAACCAATCTATGGGGACAAAAGTCACGGCTGCCCAAGCTGGTGCCTAAGAGACCTTTAAGGGGCAATTGAAAGGTTTAGTATCTGGAGGCAGGACAGAGGTTTCACAGGCTTATACATGTGACAAAACTCATCAAGCAGCACCCTTAAAATGGATGCAACTCACTGCTCATAAAGTACACAAATTTAATTTTTAAAAAGTTTGTGTTAGCCTCACCAACACCTTGTTGGTCTGGAAAAGCTTTTCTCTTTTTTAAAGCATCTAAAAGTTAAGTATCCCACAGCTGACTGAAGAGAGTAATTACCACTGGGCTGAGTTTATTTACCAGCAGGGGAGGTTATTTATGTTAAAGCACAGAATGCCCTCACCAGGTAGTACCACCTGGCTGGTCTCTAATGTCAAAGTGGATGGCGTATTTTTTAAGCCCTCCAAAGAATGACAACAGTTTGATTCCCTGCCCACACACCCAGCACTTGTATTGATCTGCATTATTTGTTTTTGCCTCTATTATATGTTTCCTCCTGCTGCACCGTGTCCTCAGAAGGGAAAAAAAAAACCTTACATTTTTTCATAAGCACCAAATGCCTAGCATAGTTCCTTGGACACTAATGAAATAATTGTTGAACAAATGGATTTATCTTAATTCTCAAAATAAATGACTCCTTACCTAATTTTGAGGAGGACTTTATGTGCATAAATGTACTTTCCATCAACCAGAAACTTCAGATCTGCAGTATCTGGGTTGTCAAATTCCCTCTTCAGTGACTCGGCCACAGTGAGGTGGTCATCAGGTTCTAAGAGAGTAACACAAATGCTAGGCTCAGTTGATAACCAGGCTCAAATGTGCCTGGTTCTGTTGATGCTCTGGAAATGCCACTGCCCAAAATAACTGACCAACTGACTATGCTTTTGTTCTCCTAAATTTGAATTCACATCTCTGAAATTCATAAATGATAAAAACCCACACAGATCTTCTTATAAATTTGGCCAAGGAAGAAAAAAAGTCCCAAGTTACCTCACTAATTTAAAGTTAAATTTTAGAATGCTTGAATAAATATACTAGCTAAAAATAAAAAATAAAAAAAATGTTGTTTCTCAGTAAAATTAAAAAGCAGTCAAAACAGCCAGGCATGGTGTGATATGCTTGTAATCTCAGCACCCCAGAGACTGAAACAGAAGGATCAAGATTTCAAGGCCAGCCTGGCCTATATAGAGTGACCCTGTCTCAGAAAAAGAAAAAAAAGAGACAAAACAAGCAGCAGTCAAATAGAAGTACTTTTAATCTAGTACCAATGCTGGTTCCTGATGCTTTTAAGAATTTTAATCAACTTAGTTCACTTTCACAGGAGCCCATTATTAGGAAACAAATCAGGATTTCGTACATAATGAAATTGTGATACAAAAACAAATGCACCAAGCTTTCTTCTTAGTTTTCAGGCTGTGCAGCAAATGGACAGGGACCAGCTCACCCACAGAGAGGAGGCGCCAGGTAACAGCAGGACTGGCAAAGCAGGCAAACACGTCGTCGGTGCAGGAGAAGTGGGTGAGGTGAGGGAGGATCACTGACTGGCCCCGGCACTGGCCCCACATGTACACGTGCCCACCCTGGGTCTTGGCGGCGGACGTGTGGGTGGAGTGACAGGCTGCGATCTCTATGATCCTAAATACACAAGCAAACACCACAAAAACGCAGTCAGCGGAAGAAAAAATGAGGTGGTGTGCTTCCCTTAGGTTTAACTGATTTGGGGTGTCACAAAAACAAACAACAAAACAACACCTACATACCTCATCTCCTAAATTTTCAGGTGCCAAATGTTAGAGCCATACTTCAATGGCACTTGTAACTCATTAGGATCTTTTTGATACCACCTCTAGCCAGGAGGCCTATAAAAATATGCACCATCCTGTTTTGAAATTCAAATACAACCAGGTCAAATAGACATCATAAAGAAAAAGAGATGACTTAATTTTTTTGTTCTTAAAAAGATTACAGAAATAGCTAATAAAGATGTGGACCATCTTGATGCAGGGTCAATAAATATTTTAATCAAAGCTTCACCTCCTTGGGCTGGGGATAAAGCTCAGCAGTGAAGTGTGTGCTTAATTAGCATGAGTGAGGCCCTGGGTTCCATTCCTATAATCGAATAAACAAAACAAAAAAACTTCACTTATTTTAGGGATAAAGAGAGCATGCTCAAAATTGCCCCCAACTAATACTGCACAACATAAATTCAGTGGTTTTGACTTATTTGTTGTTGTTTTTTTTTTTATGGTTCTGGGGATGGAATCCAGAGCCCTAAACATGCTAAACAGGTACCCTACAACAGAGCTGTACTCCTAGCCCAAATTCTGTAGCTCTACTCATTGGAAAGATTCAATGGGAGCCCAAGGGAGCCCAGCCTCAGCCTATGACCCCAGTGCCTAAGTTTACAACTCAAAGGGAAGTAGTTCTCAGAACACCTGGTAGTGGAAAATATTGTTCTATTGACCTAGAAAAACTTACTTTACTGTAAGAATAAGCCACAACACATACTCAAAGAAGATGGTAAATACTTTCTTTTACCCCAAGCAAAGTACCCATCTCTATATTGCCATAGCAGGCTATGTTCCAGCAACCTTAGAGACTTGGGCTCAGCACTTGCAAGTAGCCTTTGACTGTCCCCTCCTCATTTGCCAGTTCACAAGCAACATAGATTGTTTCTCTGTCATGTCTCCCATGAGCCACCATCATGGGGGGCAGGCACACCCCCTATCTGGCCACTATCAGCCTCCCAAGTATCCCAGCCTTAGACTTTCTCCTCAGCCCCAAATCACACCATGCTAGCAGCTTAGCAGTTTTCCCGAGACACTATTCTCACCAGGACTTTTAGACCTACAATGGTTCCCACTGGACAACATCCTGACACACAATCTCAAGGCCTTCCAGAACTTGGCTTCCCTTCAGTACCACCTTCCCTGGAGTCACTATGGCCCATATGCCTATGGACAAACAGATGTATACCTTGGCCCCTGTGTCTCCTGGTTACAGAATTTATGTAGGAATATTCCTTCTTTCTCTCTGCTTACAAAGCCTACCCATTCAAGGCTCAAAGTAAGAGACGGCTCACTCATCCCCTATCCACAATACTCCAGCTGGGCCTTGATAGCTTTCATGGTAACATTTAACTATTCAGTTAGATTACAAGTTCTTGGCAGGCCAGGTCATTAGCTTATTTTTCTCTATCTGAGCATACAATAGTGTCTTACTACATGCAATCTGTAAGTCATTTCACTGGCTAACTGGGAAGGACTCAACAACGCAGAGTATATGATGGGTGGGCAAGACCCCATCAGCTGAACGCTGTCAGTGGAAGAGTGGCAATATCTATCTTCCACTGCCTCCGTAACTTTGACATTCCACAACCAAGAGGGAAAGTGCTCAGCATATGACATGACTCACATAGGCTGACATATAATTGTTTTCATGGGTGGCCCATGTAATTTCACTGGCTTATTAGAGGACAGCTCTCAGCTCTTGAGAACCCATGAATACTAGAGGAAAAGAGGCTATGGGGAACCACAGTGGAGTCTGTGTTTGGAATCCCAATTGTATCACTAGGCCACAGGGCTGTGTGAGTATCACTCAGCCTCTGGGAACCACAATTTCAATTTCATGGCAGTTTGGGTCTCTTGAGAATTAAATGATAAAATGCTAAGTGCCATGTACAAAGTCTGATATGTGAATAAAAGCATAACAACAGGGGCTTCTTAATACTCTTATTACTATCAAAGGATAAAATTAAAACAGTTTAATGACCTTAGTTGGCTTTATTCTTTTCAGTTCCAAAATTGGATAACATTTCATTCAACAAAACAGAGTAAGAATTCCAATGGGCTGAGAATTGAAGATTGTATTCATAAAGAGAGAAGGGCAGAAGAAATTAGACATAGAAAACATGAAGTGGACTGGTCATTTCAAAGTTACTTTCCTTGTAAAGAAGGGGCAGGGAGACAAAATAATGAGAACACAACATCAGGTTATGTCAGCTAACCTTTTCTGTGTAAGGATTAAGGAGAGGGAACTATATTGTCATATTGACTGAAACTGGCCAGTTAAGAAAATTAGGCTGTTATCACTCTAATCTCGATTTCTCAGGTCAGATAAACAGCTTAGTGAAGAGAAATCTAGCATGAGTGATTCCATTTTGATCTTTAGGGGCCCAGTGCAGTTTAGGCCAAAACAATGCCCTCCTGTAATTTTTGTTTAACTCTAGTACTAAACATTTTAAAGGACAACACCTCCTTTACAGTAGAGACTATATCCTTTGAATGACAAATTCAGATTTAGAAAATTATCATTTCCTTAAAAGAAACTGTTTCTGACAAATCTCTAATCTAGTGCTCTGCAAAAAAGCCTTGCCTGATGGGAAAATGGTCCACACTACAGTACTTGGCTTCCCAACAAGCACTTTCTTTTCAACAAATAAAGAAAATGGGAGAAGGAAGTGAAAGAAATTTGTTCATTCAAAAAAGAGTACATACACTACTCCCTTATATTTTCCTGGCAAGTCTCCCATGTCATATCTGAATGTGAGGGCAGCAACATGGACTTCTTTGGCAGTCTAGTGTAGTGAGGAGGATATGCTCTGAGGCAACAATAGTTTGTAGAAACCAAGTTACTTCCATTCTTATAATCAGCTTGATCAGCTTTTTAAAGAATAAAAAGAGGGGCACAGGATATGAGATACCAATCATCTCACAGGCTTGCGGTGTAGAGGACATGAAATAAACTGCCCAGCAGAGTTGAGCAATAGAAACAGCTTCTTTCCGAAGCTAAATCATTTGACAGCTGCTGCAAAACTCCAAAGCCTCTTCCAAGGAGTTTATAATTTAGCTGACACAGCAGTGGCATTGCAAGCAATTTGCAAATGACACCAGTATGGCAGAGGGAAAATACCTGGGCACATTTACAGTAAAGAGAGCTTACTGAGCCCCATGGAGTATTTTGCACTTGTCAGGGATGGACCAAGAGCCAATAAGGCAGAGAGAAATGCATGAGCCAATGTGTGGGCAGAGGACAGAAACAGCAAGGCTGGAAGGAGATGCACTACTAAGTACCTAAAAGGAGGATAAGGGAGGTGAGCCATGAGATATACTAAGAACTGGAGGGCCTCTTAAATCCAAGGGCAAAGTTCAGTCTTGATATGAAGTTACGGCAAGTGGGGAACAGTTTTGTGAACAGAGCCATGCAGGGAGTAAAATGGTGTTCTGAGATATTAACCTAACAAAAGTGTGACCGAGAAAGACCAGCTTAGGAGGCTAGGAGAGGGAGGCCACAGCAGGGCACCATCACCTCCAAACAATGTCACCTAGGAGGAATCCAGGTGGCCCGGATACCAATGCAGAGGAAGGAGATCCCAGATACCTTGGCATGTGAGTCTAAGAAATACTCAGCCCAGGGCCAGGGATTTAGCTCAGTGGTTTTGCCGCCTGCTGCGCAAGCACAAGGACCCCAGTTCGATCCCTGGTACCGAAAAAAAAAGAAAAAAGAAATACTCAGCCCAGGGCTAAGGACACAGTTCAGTGGTAGAGCACTGCCAAGCATGCTCAAGGCCCTAGGTTCCATTCCCTACCCACAAAAAAGGCAGGGGAGAAAACCCCAGCCCAGCAGTGCCGAGGGAGATGAGAGCAGAGCTGGTCTGGCAGTGGGAGCAGGTTCAACACACCGATAGCTAAGCAGATAATAAAAGGGGAAAAGACCTCAGACATTTTAGTACCACCTCAGTAGTAAAGGCAATGTGGTATTCCTACTGGGGAGGGGAGATTAGAACAGCCCAGTGATCTTTAGGTAAACATTAGTTAACTGCTCTCGTTCTATTCCTATTTAAGCATTACTGCAAGGACCGACTAGGCAAGTATTTGTAGGTTTTTTGAATTATTTCTGTGTACCTGGGAGACCTCTTAAAATGAAATACTCCCTTTTCACTAATAATAGTCTATGAAAAGTATCACTGACTGGACTATAATAATGTCCTGTGCAAAACTATTCAACATGGAAAATCAAAATAACTGAATTCTTACACTCCCTTCTGTGTGTTTGCCACTAGCCTTCATAAAGGGGTGCACCTTTGTCACTCACCACAGCAGCTGGTGACTCAGGCAGGGTGGGGACAGGCAGAGCACACTGAGGCTGGCCGTCCTAGGATGGCCTCTGGCACACCTGCCTCCAGAAGGGAAATCAGGGGTGGGGTGTGGGTGGGGCTGACTACAGCAGCTGCCACAGGAATGAGAGTGGATAAAGTTTAAAAGGAGCCTTCAGGTCTAGGCCTGGGATCCAAAAAACTGCCAAGGAACCCTGGCTTACCTTGAGTCATTGGTTTTTACATCAGATTTCACACCACAAAGCAAATTTTGAAGTTGGACTTCTCCAAACTTACATGCAACTGTCAATGACTATAAATTAAGCTAGCCTTTACTGTCAGGATGTCTGGAATATTTCACACACTTTATGTTGCAGCCAATCTTAACAGGAAAAAATGACTACATGTTCTTGGTAGAATGGTTTTGTGTTACTTCAATGGAAACGATCTGCAATAACTACATAGCTTAATGGCTATGAAGTACTAGAAATTAAAAAACAGAGAGTGAGAAAGGATGTAAAATCAGAAAAGAACAGGGGGGGCAAGAAGTAATTTGTAAAGGAAAAGCATGGAGAAGGAATAGCAATAATCAAACATCCAGAGCAGTGATTCCTGATTACCTCAAGAAGTCACAGAATTCTTAACAACTCAAAGCAAAGCTAGTTTTACATCAATTTAATTAAAATATGCTTTTTATGAAACTTTAAGAACAAAGGCACAGATGCCAATCAATTAAATACCAAAGAGAAGTATTGAAATTTCAGAAATATTGGGAAGGACTGGGTTAGAGACAAGATAATTACGTTAATTTTTAAATTGCTTTTATGTAAACATAAATTACTGACAAATACTAGTGTTGTTCTTCATAAACAGACGTCTCTAGGAAAGATTTTAAAAAGTTTTCTTGGGTTGTTTATGCAAAGAACCTAATGTAGGAAGATTGTGCTTTTCACTTTGGGGAACTGGCACCTAAGTCCTAAAGCCTCACCCCACCCCACCCTAAATTCAATCTTTTTCCTAATTAGGCAAGATTCCCTGCCACAGGCCCCAGAAGAGTCAGAGGGAAGCTTCCTGAGACAGAAGTCACAACCTGTCTGTAAAGTTCAGTCACTGGAAAGGGTGGAACGTTCAGAACAAGTCCTAGCACAGACCAAATCTGAGACCAAGGACCAGTTTTGTGACAGCTCAGAAAATCACCACCTGAAAGCCAAGCCTTGGAAACTGACACAGTCAGGAACAGGTCACTGAAAACATTCACCATGATTTTTGCAACCATTACAACCTAATAATGTTTATGTAGACAACATCAAGTGTACAGCCAGCTCTAACGTTTTTACACTTACAACTCAAAAACAACTGCAGTTTAAAAAAGACAGGCAACAAATAATCTTAGGGTCTAGCTAAGCAACCTGGCACTCCAGGCCCTTCCATTCCCTGCTTCCCTGCTTCCTACTGCTTCCACCTCAGTGCCTCACAGTTGTCCCCATGGGAAGGAACTAAAGTCAGAAGAGCCTGTGCCATCACTCTGGACCGGCAGTAAACCATGAGCAAGTCACTGGTAGGAAGTGACAGCAGATTCTGTGAGCAGTTTTTGGTAAATGTGGAAGCACCATAAGAAGTGGGAAAGTGCCATATAAATATATTGTTGTTTTACCTTTATTTATCCTTTAACACTCTGTTGTTCAAACTAAATGCTCAATGTCCCCATTCAGTGGACTGGTAGTCCTGAGGGGCATTTTTGTGGTTACTCAAAGCCTCCAATCTGTTCCTTTTCCCCTTACTGAGTAGGTAGGAATACTTGGACAGGATAAGCAAATGATAGGGCTGCATGCATCTACCTGTACCAGTTCTTGCCCCCATTGTCTCCCCTTCTCCATAATTCTTAAGGGGTCAAAAGTCTAAGATTTTTAATAAAAAAATAGGTTTTAAAAACTTATTCAACCTAGGTTAAATAAAATTCATTGAGTTCACAATATACAAATGAAAACTGAGGTGGTTGAAAATGACAATTTGGTTCTTTTGTTAAGTATTCTAATAGAAAAATATAAAGAATTGCAATAAGCACTAGGCAATCTATATACCAACATACTTATTTAAAATTTTTTTTTAAAAAATGAAACAAAAAGCATGTGAAAACAAAAACATCAGTATTAATTTCTATGACTGCAAGCCTGGTTTAAAAGAAATGATAATGAAATATTTTTGTAACATTCTACTATGTCAAGAAATGAGTGAAAAGCCATCAATATGGCATACCTGAGAAATTCAGAAAGCTTTCAAAAATATTAAGGTAATCTGGAAACTAATTCTAGACATGCTAACTACTTAAAAAAAACTTTGTACACAGATACACTAAGTATTTTCCTAACCATTTTACTCTTCCTCACAACAATAGCTTGGGGATTAAAGTAATGAAATGATCCTGTTCTTTTCAATTGGCAAATTTCGTAAGTATCAGAGGAACTGGTTTCACACTTCATTCAAGGTACTATCATTTTTCCAAGCCACAGAAGATAGACCTCAAATGTTATTAACATCCTCTTAAAAACAAAAAGAAAAGGATCATTTGTGAGAGAGAACAATGTAGAACAGCTATTAGAAGTTTAGTGATTGCAGTCTGCACAGAGTAGCTATTGAAGGTATAAATGAAACATAGGTAAGTGAAAATAGAGTATTTAACACGGTTGATCTCCCCAGCAAGTCACAAGCCAGGTTTTGTTTTTTTGTTTTTTGGTAGAGGATCGAACTCGGGACCTTGTGCTTGCGAGGCAGGTGGTGGAACCACTGAGCTAAATCTTCGGCCCTCACAAGCCAAGTTTTAGAAAGCAAGGAATACTCTGGCTAGAGTAAATTCCCCACAGTTCTATATCATGTCTAAGACATGTTTAATCACTAAAGACTACTGAGGTTATTTTGAAAATGCACATTACCTGTCCTTTTCCACAACGACAGGGGTTGGATAGGACTGGTTACTTTTATTTCCAGTGCCCAACTGGCCATAAGAATTTGCACCCCAAGCATACACTTGACCTTCATCTGTTAATACTAATGTATGTGCGAAGCCACAGGCAACCTGGAAGGACAAAAACAAATCCTCTCAGGCCTACAAATAGAAGGAAATATTTCATTACTTTCACAAAATGGATTAAGGATCAAAAATGAAAAGAAAGAAGAGGAAGCCTGCCCAAAAAGGCAAATGTTAATACCCTTCCAGCACTGGCACAGGCTGTGGAGGCCAGGACTGCAGAGACCACCCTGAGCCCTTCGGGGTGCCCATGCAGCTCCTGCAGCTCTCAGGTGGCATTTTTCAGCTCACTTGAAACAAAGGGGAGTGAGCTGCATACACAAAAGAGACACTTTTATTCTTTTTTTCTGATTACTAAAGTAAAACATGTGCAATGTGAAAAATGTAGAAGTATAAATAGGAAGTACTCTCAAGAACAGAGTTTCCAGTTTTCTTCTATTTACATACATAGAGATATGCACCTAAATTTCTTTAAATAATACTGTGTGATCAGTTCTGTATCTTGTTTCTTTTTATTTAACATTAAACAGAGCACTTTCCCATACCACTGATAATTCTTTATAAACATTTTTGTCACACAGACTTGGTGTAATATACCTAGTCATTTACTTATTGTTTCATTAAATTATGCTACACCTACTGTCTTTTATTCAAGATCCTTTTTCGTTGGTTTTATGATTTTTGTTTTGGTTTAGTTTTTGGGTTATATCTTCTTAACTAATTCTATGAGAGACTTTCTCTTTGATTCCCTAGAATGATTCCCTAGGAGCAGAATTATAGGTCAAAGAGTATGAAGATTTTTAAATCTCTGAACACATACTGTCAAAGATTCTCTGGGAGCAGCTGTAACAATTTACATTCCAGCAGCTGTGTAGGACAGTGCCCTAGAAACAGAACTTTTCTGAACAGCTACAACTTAATTCAGGGAAAAGGTTTTAGCCTTTACTTCAATAAAGACAGCCAAGTAGCTAAACTTTTCATCCTGCTAAGAAAACTGGTTTTAATACACTGATATCTTTGCCACTGAAGATTGAAAAACATGCACACACAACCAGCAGTGGACATACCCGCTGCACACGAATGCCCTGCAAGGCTGCCACTCTACAGGGGGTTGGCTGGTTGCCACTGCTGCCAAGTCCCAGCTGCCCATTCCCATTGTAACCCCAGACATAGACCTGGGAGAAGATGAGAAAATGGATGGTCATGAAAGACAAACGGCAACCAATTCTGTTATAAGAAACATGCCATGTTTGCGTAACACTGACATGGCAAAAATGGTTTTTTAAACAAAATATGAAACAGCTGTCTTGTCTTACCTCCCCAGTGTCCACCACTGCCACTGAGCACATCTGCCCACATGCTATGTTCACAACAACTTTATTCTGTAAGCAGCCAGTGACTCTTCGAGGGATCGCCTGATTAGCTGTGGATCCAGATCCTACCTGCCCAGAGTTATTATAGCCCCAGGCATACACCTATGGGGAAGAGATTGAGGAGTGAAGTCTATTACAGTGTCTCAATTGGACACTGGCATGTATTTATGGTCCCCATCGTTCTCCAAGTGCTTCAGAACCTGAAATTTCTACAACACTGGCAGAGAAGTTTTTATAAAAATCATACTTACACAATGTATTCTTTTATAAAAATTTAGTTATTGGTGTTATCTACACAAAACAGTAATAATTATCACCAAATATCATATAACACAAAAATATTAACTTTGCCTCAGCCATATTCTCCAACATTTCAGGATTTTCTTTTTTTGTAAATAATCCCTTTGGAATAGCAAGGAACAAAATGTTCTTTTATATTTTGCAGTGATGGCAGTCCTTACTTCATACAGGCAAACTTCATAATATAAACATAATGACTATCAAGAATAATGCTGAACTTGAGAATTATTTTAATCAAATGGTCAAACTTGCAGGTTGCTAAGGAATCCGTAAAATGTTACTTAAATAAATCAATGAGCTTTATTTTATTCTCACCTCTCCATCAGATGTTAGGACCAAAGAATGGTAAGACCCACAGGCAACTTCAATGACTTGTTTGTTTGACAAATTAGTAGAGACCTGACAGGGCACTAAACCATGATTAGTTGTTCCATTGCCCAGCTGCGTATATCCATTATGACCCCAGGTAAAGACTTCTCCTTCTGAAAATAAAAAGAAAGATAACCAGCTTTTAAAACATCTACTTCATTATATGAAGATATATATTACTATACTTGCACAAATGAAAATTTAAAATCCAGCTGCAAAGAACCAATCAACTTCTCTATTATAAAACAAATTCATTTCATGCAAGAATTTCTTTGGCAAATATAAACTGACCTCTACCTCAAAGCAACAAGATGAAATTTAAATGCATGCAGTTATAACAGCTGGGAGATATACTTTTAATAAACATCAGAGAAAAAGCTGCTAAAAATAATAGGGAAAGTATCAAATCAAAAGTCAAAAGGTTGTAAGGCTTTTTTACTCTTCTGAATATATTTCCTCATCTATAAAATAAGCACTAATTTTAAAAATCTTTTTATTGTAATATTGTACAATATACTACAAAGTCAAAAAGTTCATAAAACACAGATGTACAATTTTACAAATAAGTATAAAGCACACATCCATGTACTACTTAGGCTAAAAACTACAACCTGTATATCCTCCAAAGCCTCTTATATATGCATCTTGTATAAAAGAATTTAGTTTTTCTTGAACTCTAAACAAGTGGAATCATAAGAGTATGTATTCATTTGTCTGTACTTTCCACCACATTGTTTCCACACTACATACTGAATAATTTCTTCTGACCAGTCCTCCAGTTTATTGGTCTTTTATGGTATCCAAACTGCTACAGAACTTGTCCACTGAATTTTCATTTTGATTACTATATTGTTCATTTAAGTCTTTTTCAAAATTTTTATGACCTCTGTAGATATCTGTGAGTTCACTTTTTTATTTTCAAATGATAAACATAGCTGTCTTGTAATTGGTGCCTGATAAATCTAACATCTGATGTGTAGCACTTAGTTCTGTCTCTTGTTTATGCTTGTTCTCATTTGTTAAGTAAAACCTACAGAAGGCCATTGGTTTGGACTGGGCTCCTACACTAAGTCAAGAGTTCAAACCAAACCAAATAAAAAATAAGATGTTTATCTGACCTGTGTGTGTGTGTGTATGGGGGTGTCCCTGAACAGGTTAGAGGAAGGATCTCATTTAATCCTTACAGCTCACTGGAAGACTCATCCTATTTCATGGGATGAAGTATTGCCTGAGTTTAGAAAAGCCAATTACAGTACAATCTTTAACTCTGTTGTAATTTTGTCTTTGACCCACTCATGGTGCCTTATTTGCTGTATGCCTGGTTATCTTGGACAACGTGCTGTCCATTACTAATGAAGTGTTACCTGTGATCTTGCCAAGCCTCTGATGAAGGTGCCTTCCTCTGGAAAGAATCTGTACTAATTTTTATCCTGTCCTTAAAGCACTTCCAGTACCTCTAACAAATTCAAGGCTTGAGATTTCTTGGACCAACCAGTCTTATGTGAATTAAACACAAATACAAATACTACACAGTTAGAAACTCTCAGGGAGAGGGTTTCTTTCATTTCTCTCTTTCTCCCTCCCTGCTTTGCTCAGAGCAAATAATTCTCTTCAGTCCTCGGGATATGGCTAAGACTTTCCTGAGGAAGCAGCCTCTGTGGTTCCAGACTGCATGTGAAGAGTTCTATCACAGACTTGTGACCTCTTTATCTCCTGAGTCAATCCAAACCACAGTTCAGTTTCAGTGCCTAGGAAGACGACCTGAAAGCAAGATGGCTTCAAGTTCTCTTCTAACCTTACTTGATACTTTCTCTTAAATTTGGTTTGACAATTTCTTTCTGCCTTGCCAATGCTATATGAAAAACTTTTAAATTTTTAAAAATCTAGAAATTTAGTTGTTTTCAATGAAGTGATGGTCTGAATAATCTAACCTGAAATTACTAGAAACAAAAAATCCCTAGAATTCATTTTTAATAAATAAATATACAAAGTAATATGTATAAAATTTCTTTTCAGTTCAAATATTAACAAAATGAATACTAACCTCAAAGAAAACTCTAAGATATAATTTTAAAATCTCATTAGTCTGACTTTATGAAATAGCCATGAGAATGATAAATTCCTTATACTACTAAAGCCAACTACAGCCCTTGGTCACTAGTATAAATTATAAAGCACAGAATGCTGAGAGCTAGAATCAAAATATAGTCTCTCATAGATCAGGAATCTAAAATTCAAAAAGTAGGCTTCTCATGCTCCAGAGTGAGTGCAGTATTCTTATCCAGTGGTTACACTTATAAAGTAAAAACTGAAGGGATTTATTGGGCTTACTGCAGTTGTTCATAAATCTAAAATGCCAATAACTGTTAGATTCAATCTGCTATATTACATTATTTTGATACTCAGATATATTCATATTTCATGTTGTCCAATGCATGGTCAAATTCATATGGCAGAGCTGGCAAGTCTTTCACAATCAAACAGTATATTCTCAATTTCAGGGGTGGTCCTACTCTTGTTTCTCAACAAACAAAGCAGCAGCTAAAACTCTCTGTTGAGTTAAGTTCCTATTACCTGTTGTTGCAAGGATGATGTGTGGACCACTCCCATAGCTGAGGCAAGCTATCTTTTTGTCACTCAAAGAATCCAGTCTCCGAGGTTCAAGGGTGCTCTGGACATCACCTAACCCCAGACAGCCACTGCAGTTTGTGCCAAGCACAAAAATCTGTGAGAAAAACCACTACTTATTGAAGCAGCTCTATTTATGATGAGCCTATAAATTACACTAAAAAAGGCACAGTCTTTCTAAAAGTAATTCCTTATGAATACAAATCAACTTCCATGCTTTTTAAAAATTATTTTTATTTCTTAGTTATCCTCCAAGATCGTCCACTTAACAAATCTATTACTAAAAATACGGGTGGGTAAATTTTACCTCATTTGAAAAATTACCTCATCATTTATCGTAGTATATAAAACTTCATTGCCAGCATTGCCAAAGACACAAGCCTGACGGATTAACTGCAGCTCTTCCTCAGAACAAAGGGAAAAAATTGGCCACTTTCCCACGTCTAACATCTTCAAAGATGACAGAGTAGCCTGCACTGGCTGAAAAGGAAAAAAAAACAATAAATATATTGAGACTAGTTTTAAAAATACTCTTTCTTTGCTCTTCCTAACTTCTGCAGAGGAAAGCTAAACTGGTTACAGAGGAATACGTGATATCTCTCTCTCAGAGGCCTCTCACCAGGAATTTCCTACATGCCACCTGTTTCAATGCTGCTGTCATGACAACCAGATACCAGAGGCCTGGATGGAATCAGGTCTCACCTATTAATCTTCAAGGACACAGGAATCACCCAAGCCTGAACTTTGGTGAGTATCAATGTTTAGTAAATATTTTCAATACTGGCTTGTCCTAAACTTAGCTGTGGAAACTAGACTGGTTATAAAATCAAGAAAAGACTGAGAGAGGGGGAGAAAAGGGGCACTGGCATTTCATCTGCTGCCTAAGTCTTAACAAAGCTTTGTAAAACAATAATGCTGATGGTGACAAGAGAGAAATGATCCAATGTTTCAGTTCCTGGGCAAGCTATACCTGACCTTCAGTTTGAAGAGGAGTAGGGTTTCCTGGTCCCCTACTCAGCTTTGGAATTGCTAGGAAGAAAGCCAGAAAGTATTACTGGTTTGCTAAGGCAGTGTAACAAAGCAATATAAATTAACTGTCTAACAGTTCTGGGGACTAAAAGTCCAAAATCAAGGTATCAGCTACTTTGGCTCCTTTTGGGGATTGTGAAGGGAAGATTTATTTTAAGCTTCATTTCTTGGCTTGTCTGTTCACACTGTCTATCACATATGCATGTCGTGTCCAAATTTCCCCTTTTTATAAAGTCACCAGTCATACTGGATTAGGGTCTACCCTAATAACCTCATTTTAACTAAACTAATTATATCTGCAATGACCCTATTTCCAAATACCTGCCATTCATAGCTATTGGGTGTTAGAATTCAACATATAGATTTTGGAAGATAACAATTAAATTCATAACAGCAAATGTTAAGATCATGAGTATTTGTATTCCCATAAGAACATCAAATGTGCACATTATAAATTGTTTTAAAAGAGTTTTTATTTATGTGCCTCACTAGAAACATTTTTATTTATATACTTTTCAACTTCCAAAAATTTTTAGAATTACAATAAGACATATAAACAGTCACTATGCCTATCAGATGGCATGTTTGATCATTTCCCACAATTATCACCAAACTCATGTTTGCTTTAATGAGCAAAGACTTTCTAAGGCTTCTGTTTCTCATCAGCTACCAAACCAACCTTACTAGAAATGAGTTCTGCTATAGAGTCAAGTAGACCAGTTAATTTCTACAGATCTAGAAGAATATGTCTCTTCCATCTTAGGATTCAGTTAAAGATGTCTATTAGCATGAGTCTGCAATGCTGCTATTCCAATGACCACATCATTGACTTACAAGATGCCCTGTCCTCAGACTCCTCAAGCACAGTTCACAAAGACAGAGACAAATTCAGTCTCATTCACATCACTGGACCCTTGAATGGGGTTAATTATATAGTACATACCAGTTAAGTGAACAAATAAATATTTGAATGGATGGCTGTAAATCCAGAGTCACAGCTCTCCTCCCCATCCCACCCTCTCTAACACCAACATTCCATCTATTCCACTGTCTGCTCTTGGCTCCAATGGTTTCCATTTCTACTCCACTTAGATTATATTATCAAACACTATTCTATTACCAAGTTCTCAAACTTTCAGTTCCTTTCTGATCCACAGGCAACAATCTTTAACTTGCATTCAAAGTAAGTTCTGCAGGGAGTAGAAGATGACTATGAAGCATAAACAGCTGCCCCAAGGATGACAAACATAAAGCAGAAAAAAGCAGGGCCACCATCTTTGTATTGAAATTATACTTGTCCTCTAGTAACCACAGGAGACTGCTGCCAGGACATACTCAGATACCAAAATCTGCAGATGCTGAAGTCACTTATATAAAATGGTGTAGTATTTACATAACATGTATAGACATTGTCCCATAGACTTAAACATCTCCAGATTCCTTATAGTACCAAGCACAATGCAAATGCTATGTAAATAGTTGATATACTGTATTTTTAAGGAACAATGACCCAAAAAACCCCAACCATCATAGGTATAACTACACAGAACACAAATGAGGCTTAAGGCAAACAGGGAGTGCTGGGAGGAGACTGAGGACCTGGGAAATGGCAGGAGGCTGCACATCGCTTCTACATGGATTCAATGGCATGTGAGAAATTCAAGTTTTTCTTGTAGAAATGTTCCATCATTCCCCTCCCCCAATGTTTTCAATATGCACTTGATTAAATCTGTGTGCATGGAACTAGTGTTTACAGAGGGTAACTGTATAGCTTTGATTCTATCTTTTCTGGAACATGTTCATGGAACTGGTGAATGCTGTGGCTAGAAAGAATTCTAATGATCATTTTATAGATGGGAAATCTGAAGAAGGACCAGAGCAAGGCTGCAGTACACTGAATATTACCCACACACACACACAAAATCTGAAACTTCATATCCACCTGGAACCTCAGAAGGTATCCTTATTGAAAATCAGGTTTTTGCAGACATAATGAGCTAAGATGAAGTCATACAAGGTTGGAGGGGCCTGTAAATCCAATGACTAATGTGCTCTGAAGAAGAGAGGACCACACAGAAACACACAAAGAAGAAGGCCACATGACAATGGAGGCAGAGAAGAGAGTAAAGCATCTTTTGGAGAAGACATGGCAAGGACCACAAGGAGCCGCCAGAAGCAGCTGGAAGATCGTTCCCTGTTCAGAAGGAGCACAGCCCTACTGAACATTTCATTTCAGACTTTCAGACTCTACAATTGTGAGAAAATAAACTTTTGTTTTAAGCTGCTTGGTTTGTAGTCATTTGTTACAGCACCCCTAAGAAACTAATACAGAGGCAGAGCTTCCCCAGCACCAAGGAGCCAGCCTTTTGGGCCGGCATACCACCACCACCAGAGGCCCCCTCCAAGTGCCAAGGCGGTGAGCCACACAAGTTCCAGCAGAACACACCCTCTCTCCCCCATTGAAATGAGAAGACACATAAAAAAGTCTCAAAACCAGACTTGCAGATCACCTAAAGCAACCCCAAAGGGAAACAAGATGGAAAAATCTGATGCTCAACCACCTGGACTCCATGAACTGGCAACAAAAGACAATCTGGAAAAAATGAAATCAGAAATAATTTCTCAGATAACAGCAGATATTCTGCCCATAATGCAAGATATGATTAATAAATCTAGAGAGGGGCCAGGGATTTAGCTCAGTGGTTCTGCCGCCTGCCTCTCAAGTGCAAGGACCTGAGTTCAATTCCCGGTACCAAAAAAACAAAAACAAAAACAAAAAAAAACAAAAACAATACATCTAGAGAGGACACAGATAAAAAAAAATAGAGGACCTGAGGAACATGATGGAATCCCAACATAGGAAACAAATGGAATCCATAAAACAGATACAAACAGATTTCCAGGAGATTAAAAACTCCATTGAAAGTTTACACAGCAGAATGAACCAATGTGAGGACAGAATTTCAGATATAAAAGATAAGATTACAATTACTGACCAGGAAAAGAAAAATTTCTTTAAAATAGTAAGGGACCACGAGAAATCAATGCAGCAGCTCCTAGACAATAAAAAGAAGAATAACGTCAGACTGATCAGAGTCAATGAGAAACAGGAGAGAGTGCAGATGACATAAAAAAACTATTCACAGAAGTGATGGCAGAAAAGTTCCCAAGCAGGGAAAAAGAATCTGACATACAGATAAGTGAGGCATATAGGACTCCAACTAGCCTTGATCAAAACAAACTTACACATAGGCATACAATAGTTAAGATTCCAGAAACACAAGAGAAGAACAAAATTTTACAAGCAGTTAAGAAAAATGAAACAAATTACATACAAAGGAAAGCCCATCAGAATCACAGCAGACTTCTCAAGGCAAGTAGAGCTTGGAGTGATGTATTTCAAGCCCAAAGGAAAACAGCCACCAACCCAGATTAATGTACCCTCCAAAACGATCTTTCAAAATTGATGGAGAAATAAGATACTTTCATGAAAAAGAGCAACTTAGGAGCTTCATGAATACCAAATCAGCACTCCAAAAAAATTTAAGATAATATCTGAGGAAAACACATGAAGGATTACAACCCCAGGAAGCTCAGCAGAATAAATCCACCAGGGATGACAAAAATTAAACAAAAAAGGGGAGAATCCAACAAAAAGTCATGACAATGATAAGTCAATATGTATCAGTTGTAACCATCAATGTTAACAGTCTCAATTCACCAATCAAAAGAAACAGACTGGCAGAATGGGTCAAGAAGCAAGATTCAACAATAAGCTGCATACAAGAAACACGTGCAATTCAAAAAGAAACGTATAGATTGAAAGTTAAAGGGTTGAAAACAATACTCCATGTGATGGAAACCTGAAAACAAGCAGGAGTAGCTATCCTCTTTGCAGATCAAGTGTATTTCAAACCCACACTGATTAAGAGAGACAAAAAACGACACTACATCCTTGTAAAGGGAACAATCCAACAGGAAGAGATGACAATCACAAACATATATGCACCAAACACTAGTGTGCCCAATTATATTAAAAAAATATGAACAGACATGAAAAATCATATAAGCATAAATACAATAGTAGTGGGGGACCTCAATACGCCACTGTCACAAATAGATCAACTAGACAAAAATAAGCAACAAAATACTAGAACACAATCAAACTCTTAAATGAAATTAACAGATGTTTACACAGTATTAGACCCCACAAAATCAGAATACACATTCTTTTCAGCTACACATGGGTTGTTCTCCAAAACAGACCACATACTCGCTCACAGAACATGTTTAAGTAAGTGCAAAGGATTTCAAGTTATCCCTTGTATATTATCAGACAATAGTGTGATAAAATTGGAGATCAATAGCAAAAGACACCAGAAAAATTTCATAAACACGTGGAAATTGAACAACACACTTCTGAATAACCAATGGGTCACAGAGGAAATTAAAGAAGGAATCAGACAGTTCCTTCAATTAAATGACAATGACAAAACAAAATATCGGAATCTATGGGACACAATGAAAGCAG